CTGGAGAGAAGCTAACTTGCACTCATCTTGTAAAACATCGAATCCACACTACAGACGACAAAGTCATCTGCAGAAAACAATACCGACGTCCTCACGAAGCCATTGATCAAGCCGATGCCCAAATCAAAAAACAATACGACGCAGGACTTCTTAGTAAATCTACCTCTGCTTTTAATTTTCCAATGCTAATTATACCAAAAAAATTAGATAAATTCGGGCGAACGAAAGTGGAGGGTAGTGATTGATTACCGTGCCCTAAATGAGAAAATTCTAGAAGATGATTTTCCATTGCCCAATATCACAGAAATATTCGACCGATTGGGAAGTGCTTGCTACTTCACGGTTTTTGATCTGGCCAGCGGATTTCATCAAGTAGAAACACATCCGGACGACAGGCATAAAACTGTATTTTCAACTGGAAGAGATCACTACCAATATAACAGGATGCCTATGGGCATCAAAAATGCTCCCGCAACATTCCAGCGGCTTTTAAATGAGGTTCTGAAAGGAATGTTAGACGTGGAAGCATTTGTATATCCAGACGATGTAATCATCTTTTCGGACACGGTGACTGAACATGACCGAAGAGCAAGGAGATTATTCAATAAATTGAGAGAAGCCAACCTTAAACTTCAGCCTGATAAATGCGAGTTTATGAAAAAAGAAACCGCATACTTAGGTCACATTATTAGTAAAGAAGGTGTACGGCCAAATCCTTCAAAAGTAGAGTCAATAAAAAACTTTCCAAAACTTCAACGAAAATGAACGACGCTATGAAGAAACAGAAAAAGAGTGCCTTGCGGTGTTATATGCGATAGAGAACTTTCGACCATATTTATACGGTCGAGAATTCACACTGGCTTGCGATTTCGAGCCAGTACATTGTATGTCCTCTATAATAAACCCAGGAGTATGCCTCACCAGGTGGAGACTAAGATTGCGGGATTACAACTACAAATTTGAATACAAAAAGGGTAAATTAAACTCTAGGATTCAAGCTTTGTCCGAAAATCCACCATATAGGAACTCTAGTGATTCTGACTCAACAACAGTCACCGAATCGGATGAAAGTGACTCCTCTGAAGTGCTATCAAACAAAATCCCTTCTAATTCCGTAAATACTTTAAAGGCGTTTCCTATAAATACAATACCTACAAAGGAAAAACCCAGATTAAGGCCTTCTGCTCGAATGAATGACAGCGAGGTTCCTAAACCGGTGTCTATTTTAAAGAGACCTTCCACCTTACCTCCGCGACGAATAAAATCGGAATCCGGAAAAGAAACTATACCAAAAAAGGTAAAAGTATCCTTACCTTCCACCAGCGCTGAAAAAAGAAAACCTGGAAGGCCTAAGAAACAACCCACCTCAGCACGAAAAGAAGAAAACCTATTCAACAGTCTACTGAATTAGAAGAAAGTACCATAGCTTCTAGACTAAAGAATAGGAAGCGAATTACTTCTCAAGTCGATCCAACAGAAGGAGATCAATCTTCGTCAGAAGATTCCTCATCTAATGACGACACAGAACAATCCGACCCTCCTGGATTCCGTTCTCAGAAGAGTACTATACCGGCTTTGGGGCCCCCTACTTCACCCCGTAACTCACAAGCCAATCCATGCACTGAAGTATACATTGATGGAGCCTGCCAGAGAAATGGAAACGTAGGATCAACTGCTGGAATTGGGGTATGGTTCGGAGAAAACAATCCACTAAATGTATCTCAACGCGCTACAGGAAACAGACAAATAACGCTGCAGAAATTGAGGCTGCCATAGTTGCTGTCAGGAAAGCTAAGGAAACAGGGTATCAACGTTTAAATGTGATTACTGATTCTCAGTTTCTGATTGATAGTATGACCAAATGGTTACCTAGATGGAAATCCAATGACTGGAAGACTACGACTAATAAACCAGTCAAAAATCGAGCAGAATTCGAACTATTAGAAAAAGCAATGAATTCTCTTGATGTAACATTTAAACATGTGCCAAGCCATCAAGGAATTTTTGGGAACGAAATGGCTGACCAATTAGCCACTCAAGCAATTGAAAATGCTGGAACTGCTTATTTAGTTGACGAGTCCGAAGTACCCGCTGAAAGCAATAGACCAACTATCGTAGATCTCCCTCCAGTTTACAACTCCAGCGAATCTGATTCAGAAGAAGATGTCTCTGCTATACAAAAGAAATCTGATATTAGAATTGATCTTGAGAAATCCATAAAGAAATTCAACGAATGATTGGCAAGGAAAGGAATCAACCCAATTGACCTTACTACTCGATCCTTAGCTTGGGACCATGAAGGTATGGATGAATCAATTGTCGACAGAAGAAATTGCGTTTCTGAAGGAGAATCTAATGAAGAATTACTGAAGGACTTGGAAGAACAAGACCTCTGTAGAGATTATGATGATAAACTATTCTTATCACGAATTAATGAATTCTTGGGACAAACTCACAAACAACAACCTATAACTAATGCTGGTATTGCATACACTAAAAAAGAAAAAGAACCGTTGATCGAGAGCGAAGATGAGGAACCTGATGGATCAAAGCTAAATGAAATATCTGAATTACCTGTATTTCTGAAACAAAATCCTTCTGATAGAACTAGGAAGCACGTATCCATCCAAACCCCATCGGCTAACACTCATCCTTATGCTCAATCCACTCCTTACACTCACATCTTAACCCCAACAACTAAACAACAATCTATAGTCACGACTATACAACCAAATCAGCCTTACCGTAAGCTAGATATGAAGCCGCGACGTTTAGTTACCACAATTAATGAACCTCACTATCGATTAGGTTATAATACACTATTAGATCACACGCTTAGTCCGTATGATGATCTCGCTCCACCAAACTCCTGTAAAATCCAAAATGAGTGGAATGAACCCATAACGTTTAAACGAGATAATTATGCTCACTTTATATCAAGAGATTGTGAGCCAGTCGATCCTGTAGTTAAACTTTTAATAGCGACTGAACAAGTTGATATTAAAGACCTTAAAGAAATGAATCCCCAGTTACGTCAGGTTTTAGTCACACCCCAAGGACGATTCAATACCTATTCCATAGTTGTCAAAGATAAACACTATGATGCTATCAACTGGAATGACGTACAGACTGGATTAAAGGGCCTTCAAAAAGCTCTTGTTAGAGACGGGAAATCAACCTGTAGAATAGCCAATTCCGGCGACCTATTAGGTTCACTTCCTCCGAATTATATGAGAGAACTTTCAACAAGTATGTTCCGTGGTAGCGATGTTGCCATCACTCTTTGTCACGGAAGCATAGAAGTTCCCCCTCCCGAAATGAGGTCCGGGATCCTTCAAGAATTTCACGCGAGTTACATCGGAGGCCATAAAGACATTAGTAAAACCTATAAACGAATAAGAGAACGATTCGTGTGGCCAGGTTTACGTAATGACGTTACGAATTTCGTCAGAGAATGTAAAACTTGTCGGGAAAACAAACTGGTTAGGGCTAAAACTCGTGAACCAATGATTATAACCGACACTCCAGCGGAACCATTCGAAAAAGTATCCCTAGATATTGTTGGAAAATTAAGAACGACTCCCAATGGAAACCGGTATATCCTAACAATGCAGGATAATTTTAGCAAGTACTGCATTGCTGTAGCCATACCTGATATTAAAAGTACAACCATCGCTCACACAGTAGTAACTGACCTCATTTCAAAATTTGGAGCCCCTAAATGCATTTTAACAGATAGAGGCGCGAATTTTATCAGTTCTCTATTACGAAAATTAGAAAAATTGTTTCATATAAAACAAATTACCACCTCAGGCTATAGGCCTCAAACCAACGGATCACTAGAGATAAGTCACATTGTTCTAGCCGACTATATTAAATGTTATTCAAACGATTTTGATAATTGGGATAGACTACTTCCCTTTTGCATGCTCGCATATAATACATCAGTTCATGAGGCAACCAATTTTACTCCTCATGAACTCGTGTACGGAAAGTTGGCTAGGATGCCAAGTGCCTTCCCTCAAGGACCCGAATTAGCCACTTACGGCTTTTATCTTCGTGACCTGATCACCAGACTGAACGAAACACAAAACATTGCTTCTAAAAATATCATTGCTTCTAAATTAAAGTCTAAAGATTTCTATGATTCCAAGGCTCGACCTCTAAAAGCCAAAATAGGAGACATAGTATATGTACAAAAAAAAATACGGTCTAACAAATTTGATAAAAGAGCTGACGGTCCATTCACAATTGTTGCTTTTATCGAAAACAATAATGTAGTGTTAGAAAACGAGTTTGGTGAAAGGGTGATGAAGCATAAGGACAAAGTTTTACCCACTTATTGTTAGTCTTAAAACACAAAATTAATATTATTCTGAATTACAGGTTTTGCCCAGCTGCATTATGATGTCTGTAACCTTGTTAATTTTGGCATGTATCGTGATATTTGCAACAGAGACCACAAGCACGGAAGATTATTTCATCACCCGGTTCAACAAAAGTAGTGGGATATACTACGAATATGGAGGCTTAATGAAATTATCTACTTCTAATTGGAGACTGGCTGTTTTTCTAAACATTGAACAGCAAGAAAAATGGCTTCTTAATCTACGAGAAAAAGCATCAGACCTCCATAAAATTTGCCCCAATCAACTACCAGACTGCTCCACTTATATCAAAGAATACAACTGGGAAGTGTAACGTGGATTTTATTAAATCACGTTAATAAAGCCTGATTAAGGTTTCGCCGAAACTTACAGATTTTTCTGATTCAATAAATCCGAGAATTCAAATTAATTATTTATTGCTTACTATTATTATCAATTATTTAAAGACGGAAATAAGATGGCCAGACACGAACTCAACATTTGATTTAAATATTGAATTATATCGAGTCTTTAATTTATTGAATGTTGAGTTGTAAAAAAAGAAAAAAGAGGTTATCTTATAATAGAGAGAATTCCACATGTTTTGGTTAAATGGACAAAATTGTTATTTGTCCATTTATTATAAACAATATATTAGTCGACCGGCCGAAAATGCGGGGAAACGGATGTTTGCAAGCACTACCGAGGCGACAGTTATCCTGTGGATCGGAAGCAATCCTCTACACCGATGTCGGGACCATAATCATGTCGCAGGGGCGAACCATAATGCGCATGACCTATATTCGGGACTGTAGCAGGAAGCCGAGTGACACAATTTCGGCAGTTCGTGCTTGGCCGCCTAGAATAATCGGTGTCACCGTGTCCTTCAATTCGAAAAGAAATAAAATCAAGGCGAAATAATGGAATATCGGAAGCTTCTGGCCCAGATTAAAGGTTAGTGGTCACGTTCTGGAGTCTCCGTCGTCAACCATATTGCTAACGGAACCGTCAACCGACCCTGGGGACGATTCTGAGTGTCGACCACGAGGTGAACAGCTCGGACGCCGCCATTTTCGGTTGCCGGTCGAACCACCAGTTGAATAGGCAAGCCGGCGTGTGGAATTCTTCTTCTCTTCTCTCCCCAAGTTGTTTCTTTTTGAAAAATAAATCCTTTTTGGAAAAGTGAGAAAGATTTAAACAGTGTAATTTAAAGTGTCACTTTATTTATTTTCCTCAGTGCCTATAATTCATCTCTCTCCTCTGCGAATGGTAACTATCACCCTGAGTGTCGAGTCGTTCATTTTTTTTGTACTTGTAAAATTAACGAGGTTCGGTTGTAGTCGAGCTAGTCCGGGAAGATCTCTTAATTCAAGTTCAACATCGAGATCCGGGTAATTTATTTACCTGGCGCCGGGGAAGTTCCCTAAAACGGATCGTCGATGGTATAAAATTGTGAATTCAAAGTGTGGAATTCATGGTTTCAGAATTTTACTGAGACTTCAGTGCCCGCCATTTTTGTAGTGAATTTGGGTGGAAATTTCCCACCAAGGAAAAGCAAAAATCCATTACAACAGTGGCGCCCAACTCAAGGGCCATCGCAGACGAGAGAGACTGAAAAAAAAAGGATTGTAGATGTATTAGTGAGGTGAGAGAGTTGAGCGGGAGTTTTCGCCGCCGGTGAGTACTATAATTGCTTTATTTTCTCTTTTTCTTGTGAAATTTGTTCTCCCTATATCATCTGACAGGTGCTATTTATTTTTCTTGTGTAAAAATTGGAAATTTATTTTTTATAATATTTTTGTAATTAAAAAGATGCTTTGGAAAATGGTTTTGTTTTAAATATTTTTTTTAGCATGATCGAAGAATTTTTTTTAAGCACCTGCAGTGTCCCCTACCACCTTCGAGAAAAATAGAAAGATTTTTTTTTCTTTGATTAAAATTTTTTTTTGGTGAAAAGTATATGGAAGAATTACCAAAAATAATTTTTTTTCTCTTGGATTTCTCGGTGATTGGGGTGAGGGGGTAATTTTGAAGATAGTTAAATGGGGAGATAAATAAGCAGGCACGAACCCAAGTAAAAGATAAATAATAATTTCTCAAATTATTTTCTTTTTTTTTGACAGTTGTAATAAAGAAAGGAATTACAGGAATTATAGTATTTTTTTTTTGGAAATTTAAGGAAACGTAGGAAATTTTCAAAAATAGTTAGGGAAAATAGAAATAGATAATTTTACTTTATTCGGAAAATTACCCGGTAAGATTGGGAATTTAAGAAATTTTGAAACAATTCCCAATCAAAAATTAAAAAAAAAAAATTTTTTTTTTAGTGAATTGAAAAAGAAAATATTTCTTTACCGAAAGTAACTAAATTTAAAGTCAGGAAAGTTACCTAAATTCGGAGGAAGTTTACCGGTAATTTATGAAGTTTTGTAGTATTTCAAGTAAATTGGAAAAATATAGTTTTTGTGAAAGTAGGAAAGTTTCTTTGCCGACCTTAACTATATTTTCAAGCGGGAAATTTACTTGAAATTTTAGGAAATTTATGAAATTTAAGAAACTTACCAATAATTCACCCTCAAAAATAGCACAATTTACGGAAATTACGGAAAATTTTCGGAAACCGAGTAGTAAATAGCGGTAATTTCCGAAGAAATTTTGGAAATTTTTCGGTAATTTGTGAAATTTAAGAAACAAACCGATAACTTTCCCCACAAACAGGTAAATTAGTAAAAACACCGAATAAGAAACAGCGGTAACTTTTGGAAATTTATGGAAATTTCCAGAAATTTATAGAAATTTAGGAAATTATAGAATTTCTGGTTGAATTTTATAGGAAATTAAAAGAACAAGTAATAATTTTCCCAGAATAACGGATTATCACAAATATTACCGAAGATAAACAAAAAAATTTTTTTTATTTTACTTATTTGATTTTTCTTGAATTTGTTCTTTGAGTTCCTTCTGTCTGGTCTTAATTAAAGGAAAATTATCCATAAATAAAAATAAAAATTATTTTTTTTGCCAACCGTTTTTTTTTTTCTTGTCCTTTATTGACCAAAGAAAAAAAAATATGGCAGATTCAGAAAGAACAGACCCAACCCAACCCGAACTAGGAGCAGGGGGGGGGGAAATAAATCAGAGGCCACAAAACACACAAGAGATACAGACCCAAAGGGAGGAAAATTCGGAAGAGACGAATAGATTCGGACTAATAGATGAACTTGCCGAACAGGTCCAAGCGTTTCAGGAGATGAAAAATCAACTCCATCAGAACGGTTGTAATACGTCAGGTACGTTCGAAGAGGTACAATCGCGACTCCAACGGTTAATTGCACGCATGCAGGGCAATATCGAAGTTCCGTGGTACGATAGCGACGAGGCGTTCACAATACCGACGACTATAGTACCGACCTCCACCCCCATTACACCGGGTTCAGCAAAATTCATGGGTCTACCGACAACACCGGTGACCTCGGATTCCTCAAACACGTTTACGGATAGCACTAACGGAATCGAAAGACGGTTTAGACCACAACATTTCCAGAGTAACTTTCCCCCACCGAATTCAAATTTCGCTAATGTCAACACGCGTCGCGGACACGCGGAAAATAGGGAAAACCGGACAGATAATGGAGTCAATGCGGAAATCCAAGAATTGCGTGAATCGATACTCGCAATGCAACAACAAATGACAACGTTAATGTCGATAGTACAAAGACAGACAAAACAACCAGTCACAATAGCAAGTACATGTCCCACATGTTACACAACGACAGTGGTAACAACACAATCCGAACCAGTATACCAGCCGGCTAATTACCAACACACACAGAATTATAGGTACACCCACACAGACAATAGAATCAACTCGACAGCGCCACCTATAATTCCAACCACGACGGTTTGTAATCCGGATCTGCGTTTCACAGGATTGAGTTGGAGCCAACACTTAGAGTGTATACCACCTCCACCGACCACAAATTACTATACGGGATATAGACCATCCCCTCCACAACCATACGGACAATCGATAACGGAATCCGACAGACCGAGACAAGTTCCATACTATCCAACAAATAGTATGTTTCCCCAAACGAACCCAACCTTCGCGACAGCGGAAAGACATACCGTAGGCGGATATGACCAACAACAGAACACGACAGAAAATAGACAAAATACTCTCGACCCACATTACGTAAATAGACCGTCCAATCCTTTTTCGGAACAAAACAGACCGTGGGAACAGGAAAACATGTACTGGCAAAGACAGAGTAGCATGTATAAAAAACCGAGAGATGTCGCGAGAACTGTCGAGAGTTGGAAGATAAAGTTCAATGGGCAAAGAGGGTCAAGCGTAGACAATTTTTTGTGGCGGGTAGAAGAGGGAAGGGCCGCGTCATTCATGACCGATCAGGAATTACTAGTAGCAATGCCCTTTCTCCTTACCGAGATGGCAGCACACTGGTACCGCCAAAATAGACAAAGATGGTGTACTTGGGAAGAATGTAAGAAACAGTTCCAAATTCGGTTTGGAGACTCCCGATACCAAGACCGTTTAGAAGAGCAGATTCTCTCTAGAAGACAGGGACCCGGAGAATCGGCAATCGATTACCTCACATGTATGTACGGACTATACGAACTGTCGACTAGACCTATCGACATGACAGCACAGATGGACCGAGTACATGCAAACCTTAGGGCCGAATACCGTAGAGCAATCCGTAGACACGAATTTTATGATTTCAACGGTCTTGCGGATTTAGCTACCGAGTACGAACGAGTAACCGCAATTACGGATGACGACACACCCCCACCCCCACCTGAGAAATCGCTTATTCCGGAATACGCGTTTCGAGGGCAGGTTGGGGCAAGTCAGAAACCGTCAAACATTGCGGCGCTCAAATCGGAAACGGAGCAAGTACCGAGACCGATAAATACAGAAGACCCGCAAACGAATACGGAAAAACTAGGCGAGCTTTGGCCAAAGACAATGGATGCATTGGTGGCAGCTCTGGTGGGCAGTAAAAGGTTTTCCTCACCAGACAACCAACAATCTTCCAAACAGTCGGGAAATTCCAGATGGAATAAGGAAAAGAATTCCCAATCGAACACAAACACGAGTAATTCGACGTCAAAAGACAACGCCGAGAAAAATTCGAACTCCCAATCGGACAAAGAAGCGGAAAAAGAACCTAAAGAAGTCGAATGCTGGAACTGTCACGAAACCGGCCACTTCCAAACAGGTTGCGCTAAAAAGCGTCGTAATAATTATTGCAGACGGTGCGGTAAAGACGGCGTGACCACTAAAACCTGCGAAGGGTGTCCGGGAAACGCGAAAAAGGAGGAGAAGTAAAGGTCAACTCCTCCTCCTCAGAAAACATAGAAACCTCAACAAAAGTAATCGAAACAACCGCGCAACAATCCGAACCGGTAGTAATAGAAAATGATCGGAAATCCGCGGAGGACGTTAACAAAAAGTCGAAAAAACGGAAAGCCACCCGACAGTATGAGGCCGACCAAACTGTTTTGTTAAACGACCGTGTTGAGAGTCACAATGGTACAGATCCATGGAAAAGTAATCAGGCAATCATGGCACTGTTAAAAGCGGATATAGAACCTAGAGTAGAATCCGAACAAAAACCGTTGCGCTTAGAAATTAGGGAACCGCCAGCGGAAGACAAAGGCTTCAGTTTACGGGTATTCACGAATATACGAATAGGCAATACCCCTAACGTGCAAGCTTTAATTGACAATGGTGCATCGCGCACAGTATTAGGCGATATCGGCCTAGCAATCGCCGAGAGGTATAAAGCGGATTTACAGCCGGCAACCGAAAAAGCGGTTATGACAGCCGACGGTACGGTGCGCCCGGTAAAAGCCGTTTGTTATCTCCCAATTGAAGTCGATCGCGTGTCCCGCATGATGAAGGTGTTAATAGTTCCAGGAATGGGTGAACAAGTTTTCCTGGGAGTAGACTTTATTCATACTTTCGGCGTGATACACGATGGCAGACAGCGACAATGGTACATGGCCGATTACCCAGATTCGGTACATCGGTACACCGAAGAGGGCGTAGAAGCTATCACGGTCCAAAACGAAGGCGACGCGCCCGAGTCGGAGAAACTATGCGGATTAGTAATAATAACCGACGAAGAACGTGAAGATTTAAAACAGTTTGTTTCGGGTCTCCTTAGAATAATCCCCGATGACCTACCGGCGACAGATCGAGCCGAACATGTCATCGACGTCCAGGATCATTCGGCAATAAAACAGCGCTATTATAGGGTTTCCCCGAAAGTTTTAGAAGCTATGCACGCAGAAATATTAAGAATGTTAGCAGAAGGTATCATAGAACCCTCAAAAAGCGGTTGGTCCAGCCCTATAGTAATGGTCAAAAAGGCAGACGGTACCTACCGCCTATGCATAGATTTTCGGAAATTAAACCGTGTAGCGAAAACCGACGCGTATCCATTGCCGAAAATGGATACGATTTTGGAGAAACTTCGAGCCGCAAAATATATCACGACCTTAGATCTAAAATGGGGGTATCACCAAATTCCCCTATCACAGAAAAGTAGAGAACTCACAGCATTTACCGTCCCCGGTATGGGTCTATTTCAGTTTAAACGCATGCCGTTTGGACTCTCAGGAGCTCCAGCGACATTCCAAAGATTAATAGATTCCCTCATAGGGCCGGAAATGGAACCGTTTGTCTACGCGTATTTAGACGACATCGTGATTGTCACCGAAACACTCGAAGATCATAAAAAGTGGTTAAAAATCGTGATTAACCGATTACAAGAAGCGAACCTTACGATTAATCCAGAAAAGAGTAAATTCGGAGTAACATCCGCCCGATATTTAGGATTTATCGTAAATCACGAAGGCTTACAAGTTGACCCGGAAAAAGTAGAACCGATCACAAAATACCCCGAGCCAAAAACAATCAAACAACTTCGACGTTTTCTCGGAATGGCGTCGTGGTACCGACACTTTATCCCCCAGCGTTCAACTTTAGCCGAACCACTTAACAAACTGTTACGCACTAACATCCCGTGGAAATGGGGCGAAACCCAACAAAACGCGTTCGAAGAGCTTAAAGAACTGATCGCGACCGCGCCAACCCTAACATATCCTGATTTTACGTTACCGTTCGAGCTACACACCGACGAGAGTGACTTCGGTATAGGTGCAGTTCTTACTCAGCGTCAAAACGGAGAAAACCGGGCCATCGCGTACGCGAGCTGAACGCTCACGGGAGCAGAACGGAAATACTCCGTCACCGAGAGAGAATGCCTCGCGGTAATTTGGGCTGTGAAGAAATTCCGCCATTACCTCGAAGGGTTTCATTTTAAGGTCATCACTGACCACAGTTCACTGCGTTGGCTGCACAATTTGCATAATCCAACGGGTCGGCTGGCTCGGTGGGCGCTCGACCTCCTTGAATACGATTTTGAGGTAGTGCATCGGAAAGGATCTGAACACCTTGTCCCGGATGCGCTCTCAAAAATGTACGAAGAGGAGATGGCGCTGCCAATAGCTGCCTTGACACCGTTTGAAGATCCATGGTATTGCCAGCGTGTGAGGGAAGTTAATGAAACCCCGAGAAAATTCCATGGCTGGAAAGTAACGGACGGTAAACTCTACCGATACCGCGTAAATCCGTTAATCGACTCGGTTATGGACGATATAGATGCTTGGAAATTAGTGATACCTGCTGAACAAAGACAAGAAGTCTTTAACGAAATTCATCACGAACCCCAAGCAGCTCACCTCGGAATTGAAAAGACGTACCGCCGAGCAACAGCGCTCTACTATTGGCCAGGAATGTACCGCGACATTAAAACCTGGGTCAGCACGTGCGACACTTGTCAAAAAATCAAACCCGACCAGCGACCCGCGGCAGGTTTAATGGGAAGAAGAATTATTCAGAAGCCATGGTCAGTAGTAGCCACTGACGTGATGGGCCCTTGGCCCAAGAGCACATTAGGCTTTCAATATCTCGTGATCTTCGAAGACTTATACACGCGGTGGATAGAGTTGGCCCCGATGCGTAAAGCCAATGCGGAGACAATAATAAAAGCATTCGAAGATTTAGTTTTAAACCGATGGGGAGCACCCCAAGTTCTGGTATCGGATAACGGAACCGAGTACGTTAATCAAGCATTTGAAGGGTTAACAGAAGCATATGGGATAAAACATTCTTTTACCCCGGTGTACCACCCACAGGCGGACCCCGTGGAACGAGTGAACCGAGTGGTGAAAACAATGATATCGGCATATGTTTCTAAAGACCATAGAAAATGGGATGTCTATCTTAAGGACCTAAGATTCGCGTATAACACGGCAGTGCACGGAAGCACAGGCGTTAGTCCGGCATATCTTAACATGGGTAGAGAACCTAGACCGTATAATAACCTTCGAGACCGAGCGGAAGAGAACCAAATAGACCTCACACCCGAAAACGAAAATGAATGGTTAGAGCGGATAGAAAAGTTGAAAGAATTACAAGATTTAGTCTCTTTACAAATGGACAGCGCGTTTAACAAACAAAAAGCGAGCTACGATAAAAGACGTAGACACGCGGTCTTTAAAATAGGAGATAAAGTTATGTGTAAAAAACAAATAGCCTCATCCGCCATAAAAAAAATTACACGAGCATTCGGTGGTAAAAACCAAGGACCGTTCACGATAGTAAACATAGTAGGACCTTCCGTATACGAAATCGCTACGGAAGAAGGTAGATCTTTAGGTAGGTTCCCAATCAAACTCTTGATCCCCTACAGAGAACCTAGAGAAGGGGGGGGGTTAGAGATAACACGAAATTACAGATCTCCCAAAATAGTAACCCTAGCATGTAACGGAGACAATTTATATTTTTTTTGGGAAACCGATTACTTAGTAGAAATGCTTTAAAACATGGGTACGATTTCTTTTGCTTTACAGGGGAAGAAGAAAAATTGAAAAGGGAGGCTGACCGAAAACGGGTGCTCGCCGAGCAAATAGAAAGACTAATTGAAGAATTCGATAGATCGGAAATAGCGCAGCCTCCTCCAATTCCGACCAGACCAGAGCACGAAGCAACATCGGCACCTCCTTTACGCCCACAACAACTTCCCAGGGGTTGGGTACCAGCCGGCACTAGTGGAAATGTCGCGCAACAGATGACAGGGGCCATACATCGCTCCCAACAACCGAAGATACCGGAGGCCATCGGGATTAATAACCCTTCCCAGGGACGAGAGCAACAAATCGACCAGAGGCGGGGACCAGACGAGAGCTGGAAGGAGTTCCGCCTTCGAACCGGGGTACATCGGCCACCCAAATATATCAGGGACAAAGCCAAGGTCAAGTATGAAACGCCTGCAGAGAGAGGGCGAAGGGAAGCCCGAGAGGATAAAGAGATGGCCCAACAGAAGGCCATCCTGCAGGAAACCCAGCAAAGGAAGCAGAGGGAGGCGGAAGAATACGAGAGAGCTAGGGAGGAACGCCGACAAGCCCTGATCAGAGAAGAGAAACGCTTGGAGGAAGAAAAGAAGAAACAACTCCGACAGGAGGCTACTAGCGTAGCCCTCGACACGGTTGAAGACATCTGGGGACGCACATGGGGTCAGTACCAAAATAACCAAAGTTGGCGGTTGAACCACCTCCCCGAGATAACGGAAACAGCCCGCCGCAGGATGTGGTGTCGCAGATGCGGTCAACGGGGCCATGAAGAGAAGTCGTGTCCCGAAGCAACCGAATAAATTTTTTCTTCTCTCCTCTTTTCTCTCTATCTTACGAGACAGAGTAAGCTCGCGGAATAGGGTGAAAAACAGCCCCACATGAACCGTAACCGAGTCCAAATTTATTTAAACTTTCGAGTTTGGTTAATTAAGTTTTTTATTTTCTTTTTGGCTCATAATAACTTTGGTTTTCTTTCTCTTTTTGTTTCTTTCGGACATTCGGGATTACTTCAAGTAAAAAGCGAGTCTTACATACTAATTTTTTTTTATCTGTATCTAATATTGCCCTTAGTGGATCTTGTTTTGTTTTTTTTTCTTCTCCAATTCTATTGAAAGAGAATTGGAAGTATCCCTACTTTAGATAAAGGATTACTCCCAACAATTTCCAGATAAATAAAGAGAATTCATTTTGGAAATTAGACATATTTGTAATTTTTTCTTTTCCATTGTTACCCGTTATTTCTTTGTTTTATTTTATTATTGCTGCTTCGCGCCAACTATGAGAACTTCGAGAGAAATATTCAAGTATCTAAAACGAGAAACGATCAAACGTAAGAGAAGAGACATTAAAGTCAAATTAACAGGTTGGAAGATCGGACCTTGCAGGTATTAAGACAATAACTTTACTTACTATTTATTTTTGTTTTCTGTTTCTCTTTCCAAAGCATCTTATATTCTGTCAGATTGATTGTGCATTACGGAGTCCCAGGGGAAAAGAATGTAGTAACACCCATTTTACAATAGGGTTGACGAGTGACCCCTGTTCAGACCGCGGGCCCAGAAATTTTGGGACATTGTTTCGGCTAGACCGAGGGGAGTTGTAACGTGGATTTTATTAAATCACGTTAATAAAGCCTGATTAAGGTTTCGCCGAAACTTACAGATTTTTCTGATTCAATAAATCCGAGAATTCAAATTAATTAATTATTGCTTACTATTATTATCAATTATTTAAAGACGGAAATAAGATGGCCAGACACGAACTCAACATTTGATTTAAATATTGAATTATATCGAGTCTTTAATTTATTGAATGTTGAGTTGTAAAAAAAGAAAAAAGAGGTTATCTTATAATAGAGAGAATTCCACATGTTTTGGTTAAATGGACAAAATTGTTATTTGTCCATTTATTATAAACAATATATTAGTCGACCGGCCGAAAATGCAGGGAAACGGATGTTTGCAAGCACTACCGAGGCGACAGTTATCCTGTGGATCGGAAGCAATCCTCTACACCGATGTCGGGACCATAATCATGTCGCAGGGGCGAACCATAATGCGCATGACCTATATTCGGGACTGTAGCAGGAAGCCGAGTGACACAATTTCGGCAGTTCGTGCTTGGCCGCCTAGAATAATCGGTGTCACCGTGTCCTTCAATTCGAAAAGAAATAAAATCAAGGCGAAATAATGGAATATCGGAAGCTTCTGGCCCAGATTAAAGGTTAGTGGTCACGTTCTGGAGTCTCCGTCGTCAACCATATTGCCAACGGAACCGTCAACCGACCCTGGGGACGATTCTGAGTGTCGACCACGAGGTGAACAGCTCGGACGCCGCCATTTTCGGTTGCCGGTCGAACCACCAGTTGAATAGGCAAGCCGGCGTGTGGAATTCTTCTTCTCTTCTCTCCCCAAGTTGTTTCGTTTTGAAAAATAAATCCTTTTTGGAAAAGTGAGAAAGATTTAAACAGTGTAATTTAAAGTGTCACTTTATTTATTTTCCTCAGTGCCTATAATTCATCTCTCTCCTCTGCGAATGGTAACTATCACCCTGAGTGTCGAGTCGTTCATTTTTTTTGTACTTGTAAAATTAACGAGGTTCGGTTGTAGTCGAGCTAGTCCGGGAAGATCTCTTAATTCAAGTTCAACATCGAGATCCGGGTAATTTATTTACCTGGCGCCGGGGAAGTTCCCTAAAACGGATCGTCGATGGTATAAAATTGTGAATTCAAAGTGTGGAATTCATGGTTTCAGAATTTTACTGAGACTTCAGTGCCCGCCATTTTTGTAGTGAATTTGGGTGGAAATTTCCCACCAAGGAAAAGCAAAAATCCATTACAGAAGATACCTGGGATACAGCCACCGATATTCAAGATGAAATTTTAACGGAATTAGCAGAATTAAAGAAGATAAAAAGTATATCTCCAATAAAACTTCAAGGACAAATGAGGACCAGAGTACAGCATAGAAGAAATTATTCAACTATCAAGAACTACAATACTACTAGAAGAAGGGCACCTTAAGGTTTTGGTGGACATTCCTCTGCTGGACAAGATGGACTACATGATTTACCAATTGCACTCGTTTCCAGTCTTTCAGGATATCCTTGTAAATAGATCTGCTAAGGTATCCATTCAATTAAAATACTCCCACATCGCCGTTGATGAGCCCATGCGAACTTATATGCTGATTAATGAAAAAGAATTGGAACCATGTAAAAAAACTACAGAATATCTATTGTGCCAAAATGGAATAGCCATTCATGAAATCCGCGGGAGACTACCGTGCGAAATAAAACTTCTATTAACTCCAACAATGGAAACACTAAAATCATGTCACATTCTATTGGAGTACCAGGAAGAAAATCACTGGATCAAGCTAAACACCATTGGAGGATGGTTGTATTCCACAAGAAATTCAACTATCCTTAATATTCACTGCTCTTCACAACCCAGTACCAATGTTCTTATCGAAGGAAACAAGAATCTAGAACAAGCAATACCGATACTGGCGACAATAAACTAACAAAAATTGAAAGTCCACCTGAAGATATTGTTCCTGAAAACTCTACTCTTGACGCAGATTCTTCAAACAACTTCCCGGAAGATCCAACCTCGTGTATCAAGATTTTGCCCACAAGTCCTTACCCCAAAATTCCAATTCAAAGACTTTTACCTTGATAACGTAAATTTCGTTACGAATAATAAATATATTTACAATCTAGGAAATTAATATCAAGTATAATTACGTAAGAATCAGGTTATATCTATAAAATAAGTATTGCAAAACTTTTTAAATAATTTATATCTTAACGTTTAAGATTAACAAATTCGATTAATGACTATAACTACAGTTTTTTTTGAAAAAAAAATATATATATGTCAAGGAATTCGGAGAATCTCGGGGTGCATGTAGCTCATTGGTCAGAGCAGTCTACCGGCAATAGATAGGTCGTGGGCTCGTATCCCACCATGCTACCGTTTTTTTCTGGATTCTTTGATAATTTTGAAATTATTAATTAATTTCGAAAATATTTGTCAGATTAAGCAGGTTTCTGTATTCAGGCAGCTGTGCTGTCGATACATATGAAATCTAAGAGCTTATAGAGATTTATTTAAGATATTTAATTTGTTTGTATAAATTTGATTCGGATTATTGATAGTTTTCTTCTTAATATAAATAGTTTAGTTAAAATCAAGAAAATTATTAAGGAAGCTAATAATTTCAAAATCTTTAAATTTGCTTAAGATTAACTTTAATTACTAATTGTTAGACACTCTTACAGATTAATAGTAACAAAGGAATACTTCGAATAAAAAAAATAGGATATAAAAATATATAATTGTATAAATTACTTCATGCATTCTAATTCTGAATTGATAGAAAATTACTAATTAAAATAGAACAGCAGTCAAATCGACACTAAATTATAAAATAAAAATATATATATAAACATTTTAGATGAATTAATTAACTTAGTCATTGTTGATTTCTTAAAAGAAGAACTTGAGATTTCGATTTTTAATTTTGTATTTCTTTAATATGGAAAATTATCGGGACGACAATTGTAATATTCCATGGTGGTTTGTTACGAATCAATAATCCATTAATTATAATTAAATTAAAAAAAGGAGAGAATCCCTATTATAAGAAATATGCAAACAAATCAACTAAATCATTTTCTGGAATGAGCTCGTATGTCGATTGTTACACCAACCAAAATACTCTGTAATGACATTCCTCCTTAAAATCAGAATAAGTTCAATAACTTATTGCTGCAAGGTTGTTAACCCTAAGGACACAAATATACAAAGATTACTAATGATTGCCAAATAATGAAGCAACAATTATTGCAAATAATTTCGTTTGTCTTTGGCAATCATGGATTAATATACTATGGACTTGATTAATTCAAAAGAAAGCAAAGTCAGCAAAAGCGATCCAAAGGGGTACTCCTTCGAAATATAGAAATAATAAATTATTTCAACACGGTACAACGATCCCTGAGGAATGTCAGAGTTGCAGATTTTCCCTCCAACAGAAATATAGTTTCTGGTATAAAAATTGACATCACAGTTCGTTCAACGCAGTATTAATCGGTCATTCATAATAAGAAGACGCGTTCTTAACTGTCCCTTAATTAGTTTCCTACACTAATTAAGGCAAGTTTTAACAACTCGGTTAATCGATAGTGGTGAAAAAGAATCAACACAAATGTAGAATTAACGCGAGTAAAATCACGGGCGTAAGAATGTGTTTAAAATAATTGTGTTTAAAATGTGTTTAATAAAATGTGTTTAAAATAATCGACATCTCAAGGGATCAAGCGAAGAATTATTGAAAATTACAATCGAGGTGATCAACACTAAACAATTAAACAAGGACCATCTCTACGAAGTGGAGGTGGTAGGATAAGTTTAGCGGTAAGCGAAAATATAATTATTGTAGTTTTTACGCTTAAATTTTGAAAAGAAAAGGGAAAATAAATTTAAAACTTATAAGGGAAATAAATGCTTATTAATTAAAACAACCCATCCCGCAACCATTTTTAGTTAATCTTTTCTAAATTCTAAATTTTAAGTAAATTAAACGGGGAAAAACGAATCTCGCATTTTAAACAATCAAGGATAAACCCTTGATTGGTTGTTGCAATTCGAAGAGGAAAACGTTAAAGAAACATAAAATAAAAGTAATTATTATTATTTTAACAATTTTTTTTAAACAAATGTGCAACATTGAGAAATTATGCAAGAGAGAAAAACACCACCACCAATAAAAAAGGACGATTTCGAAATTGCTTTACTAACCATCGCTAAAAAGGAAAAGGAAAAAATGGAGAACGAGAAGTTTGAAAATTATAAGACAAACATTCGAATTTCGAGAGTTCTACTCGTCGCGTTAACCCGTGTTATTTCCCCGATCAAACAAAATATTAAAAAACCAAAAACTACTAAATTAGCCACTTCAAAAGTTACTAAATCCTAATTGTCTGCAATGACAATAGTTGCTAAAAATAAAATTGCAAAGCAAATGAAGCATTCCTTCGAAGTAAAATCAAAGTCGAAACCACTGTCGAAAATTGTATTACCACTAAAATTACTAATTTTAAATTTCGCAAAAGAAGAAAATAGACTAAAGATTAAGATTAGAATTATCTCAGAAGAAATTCTTTCCAAACCAATTCTGACAATTCCTGTTGCGCCTGTAAAAACAACCGAACATCGACTATTGAAGAAGTCGATGTCAATAATAATATTACGCCTCGTGAAAACTCCAAGAACAATCCTTTGCCGCTCTGGTACGATGTTGCACATTTGCCTTTTACCATCGCCAAACTTACTGGAGGACCGTGGATCCAAGTTCCGATAGGCGTTAAACGTTGTCGCCTAAGAGAAAATGGATTTAAATGGAATTTTCGCCTGGACTTCATCCCCAAGACGCTCATAAGAATTCGCTTTTTAAGTAAGGGGGATGTAACGAAAGAGTTTTAATTTTAGAACGAAAAGTAAAATCTTTTATTTGTATGCTTGTACTATATCTATATATAATACATAGCTCACAGTTGGCTGCCTAAGTCGAGAGTACCGAACG